TCAGTCAGCGCTTTCACATGACTATGGAGCGAGCTCAATTGGCTTTCTATTGGTGTGTTGCATTGCCCGAGAGGGTGTCGTCTGTAGAAGTCCAGGCTGCATTGGTTGTGGGGGGGGAGGGGTGGCGCGTTCAAGTGGCCCTTAGGCAACCGCGACCGGTTTGGACACGCGTGTGGAAAACAGCTGCCCGTGAAGTTGCATGACGTCGACGCAGCATACGGAAGGAGGGGGTAGCATTGTCAACCGTCCGCCACAAGTTTCAGGAAGCGGTCTCACGAAGAAAATATGGTCGGTGGGACTGTTGGGATTCTCATTCGAATCTGAACTCCTCAGAATAATCAAGTGACCTTGCTTCCTTCCCCTTGAGACGAAAGTGGGACCGAAGTTCTTGTTTTGGGCTTCTATTCCGTAGTCAGCCAGCCGCATCTCGAGACATGTGAAGTCTGATCTCTGAGCAAAATGCATTTGCAGCTGCGGTACACCAGTGAACGCGATTCGCCACATTAGTTTTCAAAGAATCAATAAGCTCCAAAACATGACCTTTTGTAGAACAGGTGGTGCAAGGGAAAATGAAAAGAGAGAAAGATTTGTTTTCCTTTTCAGTATTGTTCTCATCCCACCTCAGACGACCGACAGCTGGGCGGTGGCCTGTTGCTGGCGGCGGGGTAGAAAGTGAGGTCGACCCTCAGCGCATTTCCTTCCTCACTATGATCAATCTAATGCGCTTGAAACTATCGCGGTGCGCTTAAAGCCGTGGCTTGGAGGGTTGCCAGCTGACGAGATAACTTGGACACCACAGTCGACCTAGTGCGTCTTGTCGTGTGAGGTGGCTGTCTGCGAGCTAAGAGCCAGAATCAATAGCTCCTTCCTAATATGGTCTTTATGGCGCTCCCAGTCGGGAGTCTACTTAGCGAGACGTGCTGTTAGTACGCGTGCTGAGCGTTATTCGCGCCATCCGCTTGCGCCCTTACCCATCTCTAGTCTTTTAGACTTTGTCTTGGCAACCGGATCCCGGCGTGGGAGTGGTGAGAGAGTGGGGTAGATCATCCGCGAGTCTACTTTCGCCGTATATCTCGCGGAAGTCACCGTGTTGCTCCAACTCGTTGAAGCTCCTGATGGACATGGTTGAACTCGACGGCCAAACTGCCATATCCTTTTGCAGATTGATTATTGGATCCTTCGAAACTCCCGGCTAGTGCAGTAGACGCCCACCTCG